CAGCAGTCAATCTCCGACGAAGATAGTGGATGTGTTCTGGAGGAGTACACCTGGGTGCCACCTGGATTGACACCACTACAAGTGATTGATTGATTGGTTGATTGATTAATTGATCGATTGATTGACTGATTGATTGACTGACTGACGGACCGACCGACCGACAGATCGATCGATCGATCGATCGATCGATCGATCGATCGATCGATCGATTGATTGATTGATTGATTGATTGATTGATTGATTGATTGATTGATTGATTGATTGATTGATTGATTGACCGACCGATCGATCGATCGATTGATTGACCAACCGACCGACTGACTGAGTGATTGAGTGATTGATTTGTTGTTTGGTTGTCTAATTAATTGGTTTGCTGGTTGTTTAAATAACTGATTGATGATTGAATAGTTTATTAAAACGTTTGAACAGTTCAGTGTGTCCGCTTAACAGAATGCATGCTACATTGGCCGAAAGAATGAATTGAGTAATGTAAAATTAGCTAAGTGAAAATTTGATTGATAACTTGATTGATTAAATGATTGATTGACAGTTTTGTTGCAAAAATGAATGATTGATAGATTGATGATTTTTGGCAAAATGTTCGCACCTGTTTCACGATCAGTAGCTACGAGCTGCTGAAATATGATTGATCGATCACTTTCATAAAAAGCGAAAAGTGAATGACGAAGGTTTTTAAGAATCTAACTTTAAACTTTGAATATTGAAAGATACAAACACATACATACACACACAAACACATACATACATACAATACAAACAAACAAACATATTTATATATATTACCAACATATATATATATACACATATATATATATATATATATATAAATGTTGAACAAACATTGAATAGTAATAAAACACAATAGGATTGAATTAAATCTTCAATCGGCCAATCAGTTAACTGATTTATTGATTGATCTAGCAGATAAGTTGATGGTTGATTGATAGGCTGAATGATAAAATCGTAATAATATTTAAACTTGTCTGCCATATTAACTAAAGCTTGGTTATATATTTGTTCAGATTATTATGCGTGTATATGTGTGTGTTTGTATGTATGTATGTGTGTTTGTGTGCGCGCGCGTGTATATATTGACAATAAGTTCGTGTTTTATGACAAAATTTGGGTTATTGCAATTATCAACGTCAGCATTTTATTGCTCTTTCATTAATCGCGTTATCATAATTTCTCCGCTCCTCTTATGTTTCTTCATCAGTATTCATAACAATCATAACAAACGAACAAACAAACAAAACGAACGAACGAACGAACGCATGTAAAACATTAAAAAACAAACGATAAACAAACAAATAAACCAAATGAACAAATTTTAAAACATACGAACATACATTGAAACGAACTAACATTTAAACAAAAACAAATTAAATAAACACAAACGAACGAACGAACGAACGGATGAACAAGTACATGAACGAACACTAGTTCACACCAACCAACATAGACTACTTAGAAACTTAATACGAGCAAAATGGGAGGAAATACATTCTTTTACATGCCCATGATTATGAACGTTTTATTATTTTTTTTATTACGAACTTTTTATTATGATTTTTTTTATTGTGATTTTTTTATGATGGGTCATTATAACAAACTTAGCAATTCCATTTTAGAATAGATGCTAAATGTTGATTAGGTTATACACGTTCGGTCGGTTGGCTGGTAAGCTGGTCAGTTGGTTGGCTGGCTGTTGGATTGGTGGTTGGTTTGGTTATTTCTTTGATTAGTATGTTGATTGATTGGTTGGTTGGTTGAATGGTTGTTTGATTGATGGTTTATTTGGTTATTTTTGATTGATTAAGTGTTTGACTGGTTGGTTGGCTGATTGCTTCATTGGTTAGTTAGATGGTTGGTTAGTTGATAAGTTAATTGATTAGTTGGTTGGTTGCCTGACTGGCTTGTTGATTGGTTGGTTGTTCGATTGGTTGATTGGATAGAATCTCAGCCATAGGATTTAATGTCTATATTTTTATGCTACTATTAATGTTCCTTCTATTATTTTGCTATGCTGTTAAATTTCTTGCTATTGTTGTTGTTATTATTTATATCTACTACTATAACTTTTAAAAAAATAATTGCGAATAAATGCATGTGCGTGTGTGCGTGTGTTTGTGTGTGTGTGTGTTTGTGTGTTTTTTGGTGTGTTTACGCCATAACATTTATTAATAATTTTGTTTCTATTTTTATGCTAATTATTTTTGTTTTATCATTATTATTATTTTTGTTGTTGTTTTTATTATTGTTGTTGTTTTGGTTGTCTGGTTGGGGTGGGGGTTGATTATTCAATTTGCCTGATTTTTATTCATAAAAACCATTGATGATGAATTAGATGTGGCTTCATACATTCATCATTTGTTGTTCTTTGTTGTTGTTGTTGTTGTTGTTGATGATGATGATGTTGTTGTGATTTTTGTTGTTGTTTTTGTTGTCTGGTTGGGGTGGGGTTTGATTCTATTCGCCTGATTTTGGGTCATAAAACCCATTGATGATGTATTGGATAGGGTTTCATACATTCATCATTTGTTCTTTATTGTTGTTGTTCATGATGTTAATGTTGTAGTTGGTGTTATTGTTGTTGTGAATGTATTGATCACCTTTCATAATAACAAATGTTTTTGTTGGTTTGGCGTCAGTCAGTATTGTTTTCATTATTAATATTGTTCATTTTATTATTAATATTATTAATTTTACTTATTATTTTTCTTTATTGTAGATTTGAGTAGTTGTAATAGTAGTAGTAGTAGTAGTAGTAGTAGTAGTAGTAGTAGTAGTAGTAGTAGTAGGAGTATTAGTAGTAGTAATAGTAGTATTAGTAGTAGTAGTAGTAGTAGTAGTAGTAGTATTATTCGTAGTAGTAGTAGTAGTAGCAGTAGTGGTAGAAGTAGTAGTAGTAATGGTATAAGTAAAGTTACTCTATGTGTGTGTGTGTATAAGTTTGTGTGTATGTGTGTGTATGTGTGTATATGTATTTGTGTATTTTCATACACAAATACATACAAATACACAAAAATACAAATATGCAAGTCATATAATACGTCAGTTAGGTCATAACGATTTCATGAATATCATTTTACATAACACGACAAAGTTTTTTTGCTCGAATCGTTTGTTTATACTTAAATTATTAATATTATTTTTATTTTTCTTCTTCTTTTTCTTGTTCTTGTTCTTGTTCTTCTTCTTCCATGCAGTGACATAACACTCATATATATCACCAGGAAGGCCTGGAGTTCGAGAAAGAGTCTGACCGGTTGAAAAATGGATTATTTTTTATATGTTTAATAATGTAACGGTCTTTTTGTGTTTAGCATTTATTTTGGTAGGATTAAATGTATAGAAATTATTAATTTTCAAAAATGGTTTCAGTTTTTCAAGTTGGCTTTTGTTATCCACCAGCACATGCATTCATTCACACAGACAAACATACATACACGCACACAAACAAAAACATACAAACACACACATACATACTAGCAAAAACAAACATGTACAGCACTATACATATATACATGCATTATGATTGCATATTTGTTTAACCTCGAAACGTTTAAACCATTTATAAACAATGTTAAATAAAAGATTAAACGGTATTTACATTAAATATACACACACATACACACACACATACATGCACACACACATACATACACATAAATACACACATACATATATACCTACATACATACATTCAAACAAAAACCACAATCATGGCTACGAAAATTAAACTAAAAATTTATCAACAACAGCAACAATAACATTAACCACGAATACAGCACAATCAGTCACAACCAAGCCAACAACACAGCCAGGAATATAACGAAACGAGACGAAACGAAACGAAACAATGTTAATGACTCGCATAATTCGCGTTTAACGCTTTCGAGAGCACATCAAAGCATTTATTTTATGTTCCTCTTCCCTTATTTTTCCTGAAAATTTTATTTGAAATCATAAAGCGAGCATGATTAATACAGGGCACATATAACCATGGCAGTTTGGTTCGTTACATTACATGCAAACATGCAAACGAACAAACAGCGATGTGATTGTTAAGAAACTTTTTTTTCATACCCTTATTATCCTAAATGTTTACATGGTATCGTAATGCGGTTTTGTGTACAGCTGGATGATGGTGAAATGAAAAAATTTGAATATCATTCAGACATTCACAATTGAAAATGGTTTTCTATAGACGAAGATGCGAGCAGTATATCTCACAGGCGTACATACATACACACACACACCAACACAAACGTATGAGCATAAACCTACAAACAACTCATACACACCACATACACACACACACACACAAAACAAAGAAAAACCAACAAATACACCACCAGAAAGCAAACAATTATGGAAAAAATTCCATTTCCATATACGTAGGTTTATTTCCATTCATGTATTAATGCGTTATTTCCTACTTTGAATGTAATGTAGTTGGAACGTTGGGAACAATTGACAATGCAAGATGTGTATCTTTGTGTGTGTATGTGTGTGTGTGTGTGTGTGTGCGTGTGTGTGTGTGGTGTGTGTGTATGTTCTAATTGTATAAAGTAAGAATTAAAAAATTATATAAGTGTAAAATTTGAAAAAATTAAAAAGCCAAGTTAGACTGTTTGAAGAAACCAAACTGAATTGACTAAGATAAAAAAATTTTAGGCGAAAGTGCAAGACAGTAAAAGAAAAAAGATAGGAAAAGTAAGAGAGAGAGAGAGAGAGAGAGAGAGAGAGAGAGAGAGAGAGAGAGAGAGAGAGTAAGAAAGAGAGAGAGAGAGAGAAAAGAGTAAAATAGTGAGAGATAGTAAGTGAGAAAGAGAGAGAGAGAGAGAGGGGGAGTGTGTTGAGTTCATAACGCCGTGCAATAATTCTGCAACTTACACTCACACCACACACACACACACACACACACACGCGCGTGCATTGTTCCTCTTTGCTTTTTCATTTAACAAGATGCAAACATTTTCAACGTTACGCACCAAACCGTCTAAGATGGATAAATGGATGAATGATTGGATGAATGAATGAATGAATGAATGAAT